ATATATCACCGGATTCGAAGTACACTTTAAACTCATTAAATCAATTTTGTTACAGTTATCCCCTATTTTGCATTCCATGATTGTCAGAAGATTTTCCTAGTCCAACATGTACCTCCTACTTCAGAATGGCTTCTGAAATAGAGAAAGCTTGGTCATGTGGTCAGCGTGTTGATTCTTATTTGCTACGAACTAGTCAATGCATTGCACTCAAAATTTTGCCAAAAATCGTCACCTTTTTCTTATTGCACCAAATCCTGTGACTCTATTAAAAATAAAGGATTAACCTTACATACCTCCTTCTTGAGGATGCCTTTTGAAATAAGAGGAAAGATTAGTCATGTGGTCAGTATATTTAACTTGTTAATGTTTTGACTTGTTGATGTGCAAGAAGTTCTCATTCTTGTACTACGCAATCAACGATCGCATTCAGACATCACCCAAACTCAAAATATCAACACAAATCGTCACCTATTCCCGATTGCACCTCATCTTGTGACGCTGTCGGAAGATTTACCTACGCCTACTTCAGAATTATATGTACTTTATAGACAGAGGAAAGATTAGTCATGTGGTCAGTGTATTTAACTTGTTGATGTTTCCTCTCCACTCAGAGTGAGTAAGGAGGAAGCGCACAGGGACACTCCGAATATGACTAATAAACATTTCATTTCACCTATTGCTCCCTATAATTTAGTTTGAAATCTCCTAAGAGATAGATAGATGTCAAATTTGCTACCTACATGTACATCTGTTAAAAACCAGAAGGGTGTATATTTCTTTCTCTTTTCACACTGGTTTTGCTTAACCCCGTACTTTGCTTAGCCCCGTACTATCCTTAACCCCGGACTATTTTTTTTGGCTTTTCACACTCGCTGTTTTTAGTCCCGTACTAGCGTTATTCCGGAATAAGAAAATTCATGCTGTTCTCACTGCAATTCTTTAACCCCGGATATCGTGAATGTTATGATTGGACATACTTCGAATCTGGCCAGCTGCAATACGCTCCATCGCGTATTACCAGACTATTTTCGTTTCTGTTCTCATTCATTTGCTTGGCACCGCAATTGCGGGGTTAGCAGGAGTTAGCACCACAATTGCGGAGTTAATATTAGCAAGCGCGTAGCCAGGATTTTATTTTAGGGGGGCGGTAGTGAGCACGCAAAGCGTGCGAATCGCTTAAAGAGCACGCGCAGCGCGCTCCCTAGGGGGGTGGGTGCAGGGAGGGGGGAGTTTCCCCCCTCCCGTGCGAAGCGCGGAAGCTTTGAAAGAAGACGATTCGTTGTACCTTTCTCGACTCGCAATCCTTGTCTGAATTCAGCCTCCCTCCCTCCTCCTGCGCGAAGCGCGGAAGCTTTGACGTATTATTAGACAAAGAAGACGATTCGTTGTACCTTTCCCGACTCCTAATCCTTAATTTGAACTCAGTTTCCCCCTTTCCGCGCGAAGCGCGGAAGCTTTCACGTTTCATTAAATTATTAGAGAAAGAAAACGATTCGTTGTACCGTTCTCGACTCCTTTTCCCTTTTTCTTCCTACGTCCTCTTACTTTTTTCTTCTCTTTCTCTCTCTTTTTTTTTTGGCCGGCGTTTTGGGGGGGGGGGGCGACCGCCCCCGCCGCCCCCCCTGGCTACGCGCCTGAATATTAGCCCTGCTATTTTGCAGGGTTAGTTGAGCCCGTACTATAGGTGGGGTTAACCAACTTTAGCCCACTTTGGTAAAAGCCAGTCTGAACAGAAAGTGGAATATGCTTAACCCTGTACTATAGGTGGGGCTAAGACCCCCCCTTAACCCCACCTATAGTACGGGGTTAAGCAAAATATTGCATGTGTGAAAACAGTATATGTGTACTAAAAATATGAGAGTTAACACCTTTTGGTTCAAAACAGACGATTCTTGTTGCTGATTCTTGTTTGCATTTTATTTTCATTTATTTTGAGGGTGTAGTTTCTCCAAATGGGCCCAGAATGCAGAATCTCTAGAGCTACATTGATTTAAATCGAAATTAAACTCTTTAATATTAGACAGGGCCCAGATATTGTATCTACTTCATGTCCACTTGTAATTTCACTTGTTGTTTCAAAGGTGAATAGATAATTTGAGTGTGATACATATCCACATAATTTCCTCCCTTTTTCTTCATGTCCAGTTGAAAATTCACAAATTGTTTCAAACTTGAATGCGATGCTTGTTCACATCTGCATGTTTCCTCCCTAAGTGTTGTTTCTATGCAACTACTACATTAGATACTACATTTAGCTGTGACACATTGATATGACAGCCTTAAAGTGGGTGCAACCATGACAAGTTTTGTGTAATTGTCATCAAAATTGGTGCTGAAATATTATGACTCCATTTCTAAACTCCCTTTTGTCTTAACATCCCATAATGATAATAACTTGAGCAATTAAATTTATATTGTTATTGTAAATGATACATATATAGAAAGTATCGCGTGACCTTGGCGAGTAAGAAAGTAGAGGTTTTTTAACGACAGGAAGATGAATGGTCCAAAAAGTCGAATTTGATCATCTATATTTCCCTTTTTGATGAATGTACGAATGACCGTTAACACCCATAGGCATTGAAAGATACTAATCTATTTCACTTGTATTCTAGTTTATAGTGTAGTAAAATGACCATTGCATGCAATAAAAAATCCTTTAGTCATCAACATCTCTGGCTATTATCAAAAGGAGATTTTCCTGGCCCCCCTGGCACACGTGTCACTTATCAAACTGTAAGCATGGGTTTACAGATCAGTTCAAAGATGGTTTAGGTGCGTTCAAGCGATTTTTTGAAGCTAGAATCACCAATCAAAACGCCGTTAAAAACATGGTTACTGCGGGAGAGCGTTCAAGCGATTTTTCATCAACGCTGATTCTTGCTCATTTCAAGCCCAGCCACTGCTCATCACACTGTGCAGATTGACCCAGGAAGTGTAGGTCAACTTAGTACCGCATGCTTTCAGTTTGTGTTTATGGTCGACTGTCGGTCAAACCGGAAGCAGGCCATGATAATGACGTCATAGAATCATGATTGAGATCTCCATTCGTTCAAGCAAATTTTAGCGACCGTGATCCTGCAGAATCATGATACAAAACGCATCTTTTTCAGCGTTGTATTTTTTATTAGTTTTTAAACACATTTATTTTTACGACCAACAAAAAATCGCTTGAACGCAACCGTGTTTTAAACTAAACAGCTTTGAAAACCATGAATCTAGGGTGAAAAGTGTCGATTGAACGCACCCATAGATGCAGGGGGACATGGGAAGCATTAAATTAAATTACACCACATGTCCTACAATGTACACAAATAACATTTCAACCGCAGAAATATAGGAATTGAGGGGAATTGGGAGTGAGGAAAGTGGATGGATATGGTCATTTTATGGTCTCTTCCGAGAGATTTCTTCCTCCAAGAATGGAGCCAATTATAGATCAGGTTGTGAAAGTTGAAGTGTGTTTTGAACTGTATTGCCCTTTAAAGATGGCCGAGTTCATAAACGTGACTAGAAGGTAGTTCAAGGTGTAGTGAGAGTGTAAGGGACCTCCATCCCAACTCCAAGTTGTAGAAAATGAAAGAAACTTCATAACGCTTCAGTGGCCCTCAAATCTAACTGATAATTAAATGTAGTAGAGGTAGTATCGTAGTAATCAGTGGTGGTGTTGTGGTATATTGGTTCATGCTTTTGACTTTCTATCGGAGGGTTGAGGGTTCCAAATTCCAGCCCGCCACTAATGTCCTATGGCAAGACATTAATCACTTTTGCCACTCTCCACCCAGGTGTAAATAGGTAATCAATATGCCAGAGTGCTACATTTTTCTATTGCACGTTTTTTGTATTCATGGGATATATATATATATATATATATATATATATATATATATATATATATATATATATATACCGGTATATATTTTTTTCCCTGTTATTTTAATGGAAATTAAGAAAGGAAATGGAGTGACAGGAACGTCACAATGTGACTGACATGTGCGATATATAAGAAGCCGCCATTATTATTATTACCAGCATTATTAAAGCCAGTATGGAGCTCTGGCGATGCCCAACAACTATAGCTGTAACAGAATCAAACCAAATGTCCGCTGAATACTCAAGAAAGCAGACGCATTGTGCACAAGTAAATGATAGAGAGCTGATCTGCGTAGTGAATTTGATTTTAAAAATGTATAGTAATACAAGTAGTGGGGCAAGGATGAGAAAGGTGGTGGTCCTCACACATAAGGTACTGTGCTTTCTACTCTATTTGATTTTTTCAAACAGTTTACATATTGCTGGTCCAAACAGCCCCAGAAAATCAAAATTAATTTTAGTTTCTCTCAACATGCAAAACATAACGTAACTTTACCTTTAAATCTTTCAGTAGCATTCATATAAATCATGACATTTCACAAAAGCAAGGTTTTATGTAGAAAAATAGGTAAACATCTTTTATTTTGGTCATTACATATTCATGCTGTCAATGTTCATAATAAAATAACCATATAGGATTAAACATTACAAACTGGTTGTGAGTGTGTCACCTACATTGTAAAATATAAACATATTTTTTTTAAAGGGGTTGGGGGGAGGGGGGCTGGGGTAGGGGGTGATGTGCTATATTGTACAGTATCAATCTTTATGTACCGTATTATCTTCAAGTGCCAGGCGAGCATCACCATATAATTCTACAATTATAGTAGAAATCAAGTTTGTTGAACTGTAAAACCCTAAAGCATTTATTGGCAGTGTTTATATTTACACCTAAGGTATCATTCATATCATTCTCTTTCTCAGTTCTCCTGCAGGTTTAGACCGCTTAGCATATCTTCAGACTTAAGCTATTCCAGAATAGGGTATCCTGCCCCAAAAATTTCAGGAACTTCAGTATTTCTTAAACTTAGTGGCTCTGCTTCAGTGAAGTACAAAAACAGTGTACATTTATGCTAAGCTCCAGAGCAGGTCCTATTTAAATCCAACATTTTTGAAAAGCATCTTTTTTTTAAAGTGCCCCTCTTTTCATCTTAGTTTTCACTCTTCCCCAGTCCCTCTCTCCCATTTCTGCTCTTCGGATGCTCATCCATGTGTGATTACCCACAATGCCCCTTTAGCAGCGTCCGATACCCTGGAGTCCGTAGACTGACCGAGCGACTCCAGTACCCTCACACAGTCTCCTTCTTCTTGTAGCTTACGACGAAGCACTGCAGAGAAAGCCAGGGCCTTGATGGTGTTGGCAGCAGCCTCTTGAGCGTGCGTGTTCTCGCTCTTGAGCATCTCCACCAGTAGAGGGAGCCCTCCTCCTTCAAGGATCTGAAGTTATGCAAGAACGATGATAATAACCATTGGATATGAAATGTAGATTTGAGTGATTTACCCAGATAAGATTTTATCATATACGTTTTGGATGATTAATATCATCTTCTAAGAGCCAGTAAAGTGTTAACTTAAACACAGAGTTAACACCCTTCTGGCCCTATACAGATGATATCCTTTTGTGGAGAGTTAATGCCTTTATGGTTCTCAACTGACAGTGTCCTGTGCTTACATACCTGTTTACAGTACATGTACACCCATCTTTAACACAAATTGCAAGATAACAATTTAATTATATTCTAAAGGACTCCATTCCATAGGTGTACATCTTTGTTCTGTACAATTTATGATATACCGGTAGATGAATATGTAAGGTCTGAAACATAACTGTGAGTGGTTCATACATGTATGTTTGAGAAATATTCCTTTCACATGATCAGTAAAATGACTTGCTGGAACTTTTGAGCTTTTTACTTGCTGTGATCCTCCAAGCTTTATCAAGTAGTTGGCTTAACTGTTGTGAGTTGGTCAAAAGTAATTTTACATTAGAATGTTCATCTAAGAGAAAATATCTGATGAAAAAAATAAAAAAAATTCTTAATAAGAACATCAGAGATAAAAGCACTGCCCATTGTACGGTACCTTGTATTTGTTGCCATCATGTACAGCCAATCGTCCTAGGGCTAGGGCTATCTCTCTGTCACACAGTCCCCTGTACCTTTTGTCGGGACTCCTGAGGGCGTCTTTCAGAATTTTTACCAGGTATTCAGTCGTATCTGTTGGGAAATCATTATTTAATCCAATCAGATATAAAGCTGAATGTCTCTGCAGGCATTAAGTGTAATTGACTTTGCAATTTGCATATACTTTTGTAAGTTTTTTCCTTTTTCTTTTGCCTTTGATAAAGACTTACATTGTAGTTCAGCTGTATACATTGTCTATGTAATACCTATTCATGAAATACTCATTGAATCGCATAAAGAAAACATATGGTTAGACATGTAGCTACAAGAAATCAGTGTAAGTTTGATGCTTTTATTTCACCCGATTGCTAGGAAAGCAAATGAGTGCTTGAAGATGTGTAACCAGGGGACCTATGGCTTTGTTCTATCCAAGGGATGTGAAGATTACCGACTTATGAAAGGGCAAGAGTGCATCAACTAGGTTTTGAACTGAGTATGTCTCGGTTACAAGGCCACTGCTCTACCACTGAGGCATCATGCCTCTTGATCCTTACTCACATCTCAATGACCAATCTGCTGAGCTTTTGTATCTCTTGATTGGTGATTTTGAGAAAACATTTGCAATGTTTAAGTTCTTGTTCTGAAAACCTAACTAGCAGTAGACTTGCCTGTTCCCTGTTGAGCCAAGGTGGATTCCTGCCCGTCTTCCGCTATGTATGCAAGGGTAATCATGCAGATGGACTTGAGGAAAGGGTCGCCGGTCAGGTACGGCTGCATCTTTTGGGCCACGCCCTCCTCCCTGAAGAGCACCGGTTGTTGGGCGCGGTCGAGAGGTTGCAGAGGATGCTCAGAGAGATACGGACCAGATCCCGTATGTCCTGAACATGAGCAAAAGGAGAATTTTTAATAACGAACTAGAAAGTTAGGAAAGAGTTTTGGATGACTGCGCCATGATGTCTACTCCCCTAGGACGATGCTACCCAAAACTACCTTGGGACATTTACCCCAACCAGTTCCTACTAGAAAGTTAGGAAAGAGTTTTGGATGACCGCGCCCTGATATCTACCCCCCCCCCCCCTAGGACGATGCTCCCTGCAACTACCTTGGGACATTACCCCAACCTGTTCCTACTAGAAAGTTAGGAAAGAGTTTTGGATGATTGTCACCATGATAACTACCCCCTAGGACGATGCTCCCCGAAACTACCTCAGGACACTTATCCCAACCAGTCACCCCAGCGGACAATGACCCTCAAACATCTATCCCTCTAGGGGTGCGTTCAAGTGACACTTTTCCATCCTAGAAACATGGTTTTCAAAGAAGTTTAGTTTAAAACACACTTCGTTCAAACGATTTTCGTCGCTCGTAAAAATAAACGGGTTTCTAAATGCAAACATGCAAAACGCTGAAAAAGATGCGTTTTGTAACATGATTCTGCAGAATCACGGTCTCTAAAAATCTCAATTGTGATTCTATGACTTCATTGTCGTGGCCTGCTCTGGTTTTGCCGGCAGTCGACCATAAACAAATTCAGAAAGCGTGGGTCGAGGTTGACCTATACTTCCTTGGTCAAACTGCACAGTGTAGTGAGCAGTGGCTGGGCTTGAATTGAGCGAGAATCAGTGTTGATGAAAAATCACTTGAACGCTCTCCCGCAGTAACCGTGTTTTATAACTGCATTTTGATTTGTGATTCATGTTTGTGATTCTAGCTTCAAAAAATCGCTTGAATGCACCCTAAGACAATTCAAACAAAGCTCAAATCCACTTACCTTCAGATGCATCTTCTCTGCGTATTTGACGATGTTGTGTGCGCATAGCTTCACCATACCCTGTAGTCCCAGCTGTACAGACAGTGGTAGGCTGGCCTCGCTGAGGTTGCATAGGCAGTTGTAGATAATGAAGGCCGTCTCCCAGGCGCTGATGAGTCCATCCTCCTCAAACCTCTTGAGGATGGAGACCAGGAGCTCTGGATGCAGAGGAAGAGGGTTAGATGAGAATAAGGAGGGGGGGGGGGAGAAAGAAAGAGAGGAAGGGGAGGAGTGAAAAAGAGTGCACAAGAGAGATAGAAAGATTGGAGAGAGAAGTAAAGAGCATAATACAGTATTAGAGGAGAGACAGTAGAGACAAGAGAGAGACAAGAAGGAGACAGAGACAGGAGAGAGACAAGAGGGAGGGAGGGAAGAGAGAGAGAGAGAGAGAGAGAGAGAGAATATCTAGGCTTATCTTTCTTTGTGGGTAGCAGTGAATATTATGTTCTGGTAGTTGGCAATTGTGTGCTTTACGAAAATTAAACTGTGTCACAGTTTTTCAGGCTATTAAACTTGTTGGTCACAAATATCATTGGCAATTGTTTCTGGATCAAGGAATTTTTTCTGATAGTTTGTACAGAGGGCTTGATGAAACATTCCTTTCTTTGGCTATAGAGTTAGACAGTAAATATTTGATCACCATACTTGCTCCAGGCCTTTGGATATGTCAGAATAAAATTAGAGTCCCTGAGTATAAAATCAAGCGAAAGAATTGTTTCATAAAGGGCAATTCTAATTATGACGAAGGTAGATGAATATTCTCTTCTTACCTGGTCCACCGCAATCGCAGAAAACCTGCGTAAATCCCTCCTTGTCCTGACACTTCCAGAATGCTGCATCTATCTTTTCGCAGAGCAGAGCAGTCTTTGATGTCGCCCAAGAGGTCTCCTTCTTCAGCTCCTCCAGAAGGTTCTTCATCGTATCGATTTGAGTTGATGCCATCTTGCTTTTCGAGTTTGGGAATGATCCTTGCTTAAAATGACAGGCCTTTTATATTCAATTTGTGCATACTGTATATAAACTGTTGATAGGCTTTGTGTTTATGACATCACATGACATAACAATCCTGGCACGTCCTGTACACCACGTACTACATAATCGAGTGATTACAATCTTTTTCCTGATCCTGTATCGTTGAACTACAAAGGAACTGTCAAGTTACACTGTAGATCCGCATTAGAGAGTATAGCGGAATTCAGAGATCAAAGACAGGAAGAGTTATGGCACTGGTTTTTTTAACTATGACCAAATACCTAAATGGCCCTTTGAGAGCCTGAAACTTTCCAAAGATAAAGAACTAGAAATCAGCAACAACTTTTTCTAGTAGCATGGACCTAGGTTAACCTCCCATAGCTTAACGAAAAATTTTGATCGTTGCTTTATGCGCATGAGGTATCCCTGAACAGCTAATTGTTTACGGAATTTTGTAACAAAATTGACATACCATTTTGGTTGGAGCTGAAAAAAATATATAGCCACAAACAATATGTTCTTTTTCTATTGATAATTAATGAGCATGAGTGGATCTTAAAGAAACTTAACAGTAATCTGAATCAACTCCCCTATTTTAATGGAAAAGTGCAATTGAAAATGGCGTTTCGGACGTTACATCTTCCGTAAACAATGTAGACCCTCATTTAACCCACTAGAACAACAAATTAATGAGATTGTATATGGTTTGAGTGAGTTTATTAGTTGCTCCAATTGATTATATTAAAAGAAAATATAATCTAATTATAGTAGCGCTTATATTAGAAATATACTCAAAATTTGAAAAAGTCGTCTCATTTTCCGTAAACAGTTTTGTAACGTCCGAAACAATTTTCAAGTTGAAGTAGCAGAAAATATATGAACAGCAGGATATATCTATCATAACATTTTGTTAACATCTCATGGCAGCTACCCACCAAAACAAAGAAATTTGCAATACATTACTACAATACTATTTCATAGTTAAAACCAATTTTCCGTTAACAGTTGTAACGTCCGAAACAAATGTAACGTCCGAAACAAAAAATACCAATAAAATGATGATAATCATATTTTAAGGTATCTAGAGTGAATAAATCATTATGAAATAAATTATTATAAGTCTTAACACAAGTCAAAACACAAATCAGGTCTTTCAAATCCATTAATTTTTTTGTAATAACAAGAATGGTGTTTCGGACGTTACACAATTTTATTGTTAACACAAAGTCGACAAATTTCACCTAATTTTCGATCATATCTGCAAGTTACCATTTCACAATGGACACTCCTGTTAAAAACACTATTTTGATGATTTTATTCAGATTTAAATATACAAATGTGTAGAAATATGGTGCCAAAAATCAAATAATCCGTAAATTATCTAACTTTTCTGCAAAATTGACTTATAAAACATAAAATATTGAAGCCACACTTTGTGATGCAAGGCATGGCTGGCTGCTTCAGTATATCCTTAATTGTAATTTATCAGAAAAAATCTCAACAAAAGTGACTCATAACAAATATTCAGACACTTTAACAGCACTTTCTGGTATGCTGTTAGCACGTTTCGGACGTTACATTAAACTGTTAACAGACATTTTCATACTTGAACTAGTTCAAATGAGGGGCAATGATAGAAGTGAGAATAGCAAATTTCATTTGTTCAACCTCTCCTTTTGCTATAAACATTGGTGTGTGTTTGCAAATCATGAGGTTTTCATTTTTATAGAGGTTGTTCCAAATGATGTCATATAACCAAAGATTGTATGGTCAATTTACACTATCTGGTAGGTTACAAAAATCAAAATCACCCACTTAAGCAATACCCAGTGTGCATGGTCATGACATGGATATGATACAGGTATATGAAGTTGATAAAATCAAGCAAATCAAAATGTTTTTCTAAAAAAATTATGAGAAATATGTATTTTCATCTGAAAATACATTTTAAAAAGGGCACTCAGTACATGTAACTAATCTATGTAGAAAGGATTAATACTGCCATTATCCAAAACTGGAATTGGCATTTACACTTAATAATGATAACAATTTATCGAGCAATTTTATGAAATTGGCTTGCACACTACATGACACACTCATTGGTTGCATACATGTACAATTGATGAGCACAAAGGCTTCCATTATAAAACAATAATCAGTAATCAGTATCCGATACCTATTATAGAAACTTGTACAACATAATGTTGACATAGCTGTAGATCTGCCAAATTTCCAAATGACAAGAAAATGGATTACCAATTTGTGGGGGTGATTAAAACATGAACATGAAAATAAGGTGTAGCCTCTTCAAAATTAATTAATTCATAATTTTATCCTTTCATTGGATGAACTACCCTCACATGTACTAGCCTTATGTACAAATACTTTTCAAATGCTTGACCCTCATAACAAAATGTACATGTTAATGATCATTTCATGATCCTAAAGATATAGTAACTTCCTCAAATTTATGCAAGAATATCGGGATGTACAATGAATAAGGATTCCCATATTTCTTATTACTTAAATGGCTGGGGATACTTTTATATACTTTTATTTGTTAAAAGTATTTTTGTAATGTTTTGCTTACACTGTACATACTGTACATGTATGTGATAGTGATATTATTGAATGACACACTACATGAATCTAGTTTTAGGCAAAGTACAAAGCAAGCCGATTAAATATCTATGTTGTAAAGTTTGAAGAAATCGATGATCTGATTGAAATGTTCACATCTTGTAACATCCGAAACAAACTATAGCATATATTGTACGCTGTTGTTCATAACCTGCAAAAGAGAGTATGTTTGTAACTGAATTTTCTAGGAGTTGTGATGACTACAATTGCTATTAGCTCCATATTTCACTTTGTTAGATCACATAAGCATTTTTAACTACACGTTCCTAAAATGAACAGTATACCTCACATAAATTGAGTAGTCGATGAAGACAAACTAGGTGTATGTGCAAAACTAATTAAAACTGCACAATTTTTTCAATAAATGTTAAAGAAATATTTTTCTGCAAACAATTAATGTAACTTAGGTCAATAATACCTAAAGAAAAGCAATTAACTTGAATAAAGTTATGATGTTAACAGTGTGTAACGTCCGAAACACCAGTGGTGTGACATATGAAAATTATTAGCAATGCACTGGTTCCCCAATTTTTTTGGATGTATTTAACTTATATCATCAGTTGTTATAATAAAATAAGTTTGACCTAAGAAAAAAGCATTTTACCTAATGAAATAAAAACTTTTTATTGTCAAAACCCTAATTTGGAGCTATTTTTCACTTTCAAGGGACACAAAATCTGTATTTTTCAAGATAGAAACTCAAAAATTTGCATGAATAATCTCTGAAACATATTCTTAAAGACCAACATATTTGTTGGTTAAGTTAATAGCAAATGAGTTCCATATCACAGTTATTAGATATGCTATAGTTTACAATAAAATTGTAAAAACTCAAAGTATTCATATCTAGTGAATAAATAAGGAGATAGATTAAGGTCCAAAGTTTGCATTTCTCAAAAATATGAATAGTCCTGATCCTAAAAATACATGTTTGAAGTGAGTAAACATGATTTCATTTCAGACCCTATTGTGGACACATTTGGTATATGTTAAAAAAACCAGTGCCTTATATCTGTCCAAATGTTTAGAGCCTATTGCCTGTTCAGCGCCAGAAAGGTGTTGACTCTGCTTCAAGTATATGATTTAACACCCTTTTGGCTAATATATTCTATCTGTATTCTGTATGCAGTGAAGTAAAATAATAGAATATTGTCAGCTGCCTGAAAGTAGGCCATATAATAACAGCTATGTATTGTCAGTGGCCATACTGACCTTCTTGCGGGTGCCCAACGATATATATTCCTGTCATTTGAATGATCCTGTGGTTTCTAATAAAGGAGGTAGAGATTATGACCATTTAAGGAGGTAATAGTTTAAAAACAATTAGTACAGTGGGTGGAATACATGTCAGTCTGTTTTCTTTCCCCAAAGAACTTAAAATCTTTTTTTTAGTAATATATACTAAATGTTAAAACAGTTGAAGTTCTAGTATTTTTGTGCCATAAAGTGTTGATTATTTTAAAAGCTTGATTGATGTAATCATTCAAGTGTCTTAATTTCTAGGATAATGGCATTTATAGTAGTGTTGTAATTCCGTTTAACCGCCAGTCAAAACCGGACTGTTTTCGGTTAAAGGATTTGTGCTTGTGAAATTGTCACAAATTATAGTAACAATGTCGTTTTTAGAAGAATATGTGAGATCATTAATGTAAATTAAAAATAGTAGAGGACCTAGGATAGAACCTTGTGGTACGCCGTGTGTAATAGAAGAAAAATTGGAGGAATTATTATTATAAACTACATATTGAGATCTATTACAAAGATTACTTTCAAACCAAGATGACAGACAAATTGGAGTGTTGTTCTAGTTTCCGGGTGGTGAGTCAACACACCGATTACTGAGCTGGGAGACATTGCTAGTGCCAGGTGGAGGGGCATAAATCGAAACTTAAAAAAAAAAAAAAAAAAAAAGGGAAAACGAAACCGTCCAATTGAAAAGGGATAGTGCCATGGGCGGTCGGATACCGGACGGTTAAACGTTTGACTACAGCACTATAAAGTCAAGACTTCAATATTCATAAAAGTTTCTCTTGGCAGTACCAGATGTATTTTGAAAGGAAGGTTGAAGTGAGATGAAGAGATTTGTTTAATCATAACACTGAAAAATAATTTAGTTTTGTAATCAATGAAACTACTTGTAATCAGTATGGTTTTAATGATTAACATATATACAGTACATGTACATTTATAGCTGTATCTAGACTTTTATAATGTAAATAAAGGAGGGGAGGGGGGGGGGGGGGGAGGGGACAAGCCTGAATGCGTGTGTCAAGTAAGCAAACAAGAATAGTGGTGTCAAATATATATTAATCTTTGTTAAGAAAATATTAGATATACATTCAAAATCTCTCAATATCTGTAATGGGGAAAGGACAAATAGTTGGGGGGGGGGGAGGTGAAGTGCCCCTGCCATGACCCCTCTTTGGATAATGCAAACAGTGTGAAATGATTCTTTAAGGTACATCTTCCCCCATGTCTCAAAATCACTTAATGATGTAATCATCATGGGCATCTGATCTTTACCCCTCAACTTCTGATGTTTCAACAGCAAGCCAAACCAAGTCGAGTTGTTTTTTCCAATAACCTGTTCCCG